GACCATGTACTACAAGAACTTAAGATGGATCAAAGAACTAAATATAAAACTTAAAACTATAAAGAACATCAATGAAAAAGTAGGTCAAACTTTGGGGCCCCAATACATGGCATAAATACACCATCAAACATAAAACAACAGTAGAGACAAACTAGACGACTGGGACCTCTTAAAAATTAAACATTTATGCACATCAAATGGCTTTTCTAAAAGAGTAAAAAGAGAACCTACAAACTGGTATATAAGTTTTGGGCAATGACATACCAGACAAGGAACTAATCTCAAAAACTTACAGAAAATTTCCATATCTTGAAAATAAAAAAGACAACAGTCCAATTGAAAAATGGGCAGAACACATGAATAGACACTTTACCAAAGAAGACATTCAGGTGGGCAAGAAACACATGAAGAAATGCTCACAATCATTAGTCATTAGTGAGATGCAAATCAAAACAACATGAGTTACCATCTCCAGCATTGATAACAAAGTTCAGAAAAACAGAAAGCAACAAATGCTGGTGAGGGTGTGGAGAGATTGGAACCCTCATACACTGCGAGTGGAACTGTAAAATGGTGCAACTACTGTGGAAAATAGTATGGCACTTCTAATAAAAGCCATGATATGAACAAATGTTTGCACAGCCATGTTCATAGCAGCATTATTCACAATATCAAAAAGGTAGAAACAAACTAAGTGCCTATCAATGGAGGAATAGATACACTGTGGTACACACACACAGTGAAGTACCTAATAAGATGAATGAACCTGGAAGACATTGTACTGAGTGAAATTAGTCAATCGCAAAAGGACAAATACAGTATGAGACCACTACTGTAAAAAGTCAAGAAAAGGTTTATACGTAGAATCATTTTTTGAAGATTCCAGGCATGGGAGGGGAAAGGAGGGTAAATCACACATATTAACTTCAGTGAAAGAAAGGCAATATAAAAGAAGTGGGAGGTTAGCACAATGTAATCAAGGCAAAGGAGGACACTGGGAGACACACAAAACTTAAAGGCAACAAAGATAGCACTATTACGTATACAATCTGGCAATAGCAGTCATCTGTGAGTGGATGCATAGACAGACATAAGCAGAATAGGAGTGGAAAGATGAATGGGTGCTCTTGAGTTTGTTCCTACTCACAGCAACCCTATGTAGAACAAAATGAAACACTGCCCAGTCCTGTACCATCCTCACTATTGTTGCCATGCTTGAGCTCATTGTTGCAGCCATTGTGTCAATCCATCTCATTGAGAATCTTCCCCTTTTTCGCTGACCCTGTATGGGACTATACCCACATATATATATATAGGTTTGACAGGGGTATTTCTACATACATATTTATGTGTGCTGCAGATGCATTCATGAATATAGTAGAGCATTCAGGGGACAAAGTTATAAAAACTTAAACATAACAAAACATCTTGACGTAATGAGTCACTGTGCCTAGGGGTCAGGACCTTAGTCTTGCAGGACATCTGGGTCAGTTGGCAAAGCAAAATATACAAAGACAGTGTTCTGCATCTTACTTTGGTAAGTAGCAACTGAGGTCTTAAAATCTTACATCTATCTAAAGGGCAAATACTGGTCTCTCTCTGGCCACAGAAAGGAAGAGTGAAGAATATCAAAGATGCGAGGAAACAGTCCAAAGGACTAATGAATCACAGGAATCCTAGCCTCCATGACCCTGAGACCAGAAGAATCAGATGGTGCCCACCTACTACTTCTGACTGTTCTCTAAAGGATCATAATAGGAGATCCTGGGTACAATGGGAGAAAAATATAGAACAAAATTCAGAATAATAAAAAAGACCTGGCTTACTGGTCTGATAGAGACTGGTAGAATCTCTGAGATTATGGCCCGGATACCCTTCAAGCCTGGAACTGAACTCATCCCTGTGATCAACATTCAGCCAAACAATACAGACCTATAAGACGATCAGAAACACTAGGGAGATACATACTCCTTAGAATAATCAATCACATGAGATCAAAAGGGCAGCATTTGCCCAGGGATAAAACTCAGAAAGCAGGAATGGGTAGGAAAGAAGGATGAGTGGAAACCATAAATACAGGGAGGAAGTGGGAAGAATGCTATTTACATTGTGGGAATTGCAGTCAATGTCAGGAATCAAAATGTGCATGAATTGTTGAATAGAAAACCAATTTTCTCTGTAAACATTCACCCAAATCATACTACAAGGTATATATATAAAATGCAATACCAGTATCAGCTATTATAAGTAGAAGACAGCTTTAAAAAGTGAAACATTGAAAGCAAAGCCATGTTCCTACAGCTCTGGGACATCCAGATAGACTCTGACCTTGGAATGAAAACTGCTTTCTGTTGAAAACAGATTATCAATTGTTGGTTGTCAGAGATGTTCTGGACTCCCAATGAGATCTCCTTCTTGAGATATCTGAAGATCTGAAGACAATGCAAGTGGGGATCTTTTTACTCTCCCCAGAAAATCAACTCCCAGATGGTCCTACTGTTGGTGGGGAGGTAGGCATGTAGGGGAGAGTCAGGAGGCCTCACAGGAGACTGGCCTCAGACACCCTGGGGGAGAAGAAGGGTGCTCACAGCAGGGAGCATCATTCACAGAGAGTGGAGGGCCACTTTTCAACCCACAGCAGCTGGCTCCTCACTCTACCTCATGCTTCTATATAATTGAGATGCCAGTGTGGTGGTTTGCAAAGTGGCTAAGTCCTTTATTAGCCAGGAAAAAGCAGAAAGTGCCTTGGCAAAGAACAGTGTGGGTAATTGTGAAGAGAGACAGAAGGAAAATAGGCCATGGCTGTGGTGCCTGGCAGGGAATAGAAATGGACAGGTTGGGATGTGAAAGAGGTCTAGATGCTTTCCTCACCATGTGTGGTCTTACCATCTTGAGCCGGTGAGGCATCTTGAGGGGCATGGGTGAGCTAGGGTGGGTGACCATGTGGGCAGGTTGGCAGAATTTACTTGCTGACCAGAGAGGGTAACCAGGGCAAGGACTCTCTTGCCCAGCCCTGCTAGGGTTGTGGGACAAGTAAGGCTGTATGCACATGTAGACCAGGACCAAGGGGTTGGGGGTGGGCCACATGCACACCTGCAGTTCTCTAACACACCTGGCAGGTGTTAAGAGTTGGTGACAAACTATGGAGTAGGACTGTGTGCTCCAGCCCTGTGTTTGGGTTCAGCTCCCCCACCCCCAATCTCGCTGCTCCCTCTTATGGTCAGGGTCTCAGGTTCTGGAGCTAGAGGAGCTGACTCTCAGAAGCTGGGGAATGAGGCTACTGAGGCCAGGCTCTTACTCCCAGTTGAGAGTAGAGTGTATCTGACCTCAAGTGGCTGGTGGATCCTGTTAGCAGGGCCTCTTGGTCTTTGGCCATCCCCCTTGGGTCTTGGCCATGGGCAGCTTCTGCTCATGCCTCTGCTGTTGGGAATGGCAGGCAGGCTTGAGCCTGGCTGTACAGTGAAGGAAGAGGGAGATGATCACAGAATTTCAGCAGGTTTCCCTAGGGCCGGTGCTCTGTCAGTCAAAGGTTTCTTTCTTCTTTTACTTTATTGTGGTAAAATAGATATGAAAAAAAAAAAAAGTAAGCATTTTGACCATTTAAAAATGTGCAATTGAGTGCTAATAAAATTTCATTCACTGTGTTATGCTGCATCACCACTATCCATTTCCAAAAGTTTTATATTACCCTAAACCAAAATTCAGTACCCCTTAAGCTAAATCCCTACTTTCCTTTTCCTACTCACCCTTGGTCACCACTAATAAACTTTGAGCTTGATGCATTTGCCTATTCTAGATATTTCATGTAAGTGAGATCATACAGTATTTGTCCTGACTTACTTCACTCAGCCTGTTTTCATGGTTCATCCATGTTGTCGTATGTATGAAGACTTCATTTCTTATTATGACTGAGTAGTATTCCATTGTGTGGATGGACCACATTTAGTTTATCCGTTTATCTGTCAGGATTTTCTTTTTAAGAAGATTTATTTAAAAAAAAAAAAAAAGAATAAAATAAAATGGAACCATAGAGAAATGTTCCAAGTATCCTACAAAGAGCTGTTTTTTTCTCCCCTTAGAACCTTTTAGGAGCTCTGGTAGCATAGTGCCTAAGGCACTTGACTGCTAACAAGAAGGCTGGCAGTGCAAACCCACCGGCCACTCCTCGGAAGGAAGGTTGGACAATCTACTTCCATAGCGATACTGCCTCGGAAACCCAAGGAGGGGTCACTGTGAGTCGAGTCTGACTCGACAGCAAATAACAACAAGAACCTCTTAGAAATAAGTTGTTGACCTGATATCTCATCCCCTCATGTCTGCTTTAGTGTCTGGTTTCTAGAGACAAGCACATTTTCCTACATCTCCTAACATCAGGAAGTTAGCAGTGACCCTCACTCCCCTCTGTCTTTACACCCCAGCTGGATATCACTGGCTTTCCCAACAATACTGATTTGGTAGCTCAGAATTAGGTCCTATATTTAGTTGTTATGTCTCTTTATTCTCTGATTTTCATTATTTGACACTCTAAAGAGCACAGATAGTCGCTGTCTCTTAGGTTGTTTCTGACTGTTCCTTCCTACATTCAGGTGTGAGTCTCTGGCAGGAATTCCCCAGGAGTAGGGCTGGTCCTCACTACATCCTGCCTGATGGCACTTAGTGTCCATCTGTCCCACTGCTGAGGGTGTTTGCTACCTTCTCCATTGTGAAGTTCTCTCTGCTTTGTAATGAATAAGTATTTTGTAAATATCCTGTTTTTCATCAAACTTTCCAATTATTTATTTGTTAGTTTATACTTGTGTAGAGACTTGGTGTTCAGTTAAAGAATAAAAATGAAACAGTAGATGGGGAAGACCTCTCCAGGAAGGTCTTTGGATCAGAGAACCTTGAGCAGGAGACACCTATGCAAAGAGTAGGGCGAGGCACCCATGCATGGGATGCATGGTGTAAGGGCAGACTCTGTGTTTCCTGTGATGCTAACCAACTTAATGGCCCCTTTGCAGATTGAATCTGGATTCTTCCATGAGAGCGATATGAAGATTGTGGCAAAATCAATCCGGGACCGGGTGGCGCTGATCAAGTGGCGGCGAGAAAGGATCTGGCCTGCCCTGCAGCCCTTGGAGGCACAGGCCACTGAGAGCCCAGACAAAGCCAGGGGTCCCAACGTGCCACTGCAGGTCCAGGTGACGTATCATGCACAAGGTGGGCATCTGGCGCCCACGGAGCCAGAGGAGCCTGAGGCTGACCAGCACCTCTTCCCACTCAAGCTCCCAGCAAGTGCTACATCCCTTGCATGTGAGTCTTCCCTGCAGCAGGCAAACCAAGCTCAGGGCTTGCAATGTGAAATTCATTGGGGCCCAGTGACAAGCAACTGCTTGGCTAAGAAAAGTTGAGTGTTCTAGCTGTGCTTTGTTAAGGTGCTCTGTGTGGAGGATCATCAGTAGTATGGCTTTGAAATATGATGAGTTGAGGCTTTGAAGTGCTGCATGAAGTCTGAGCCATGGGCATCTCTAGTAAGCTCTGGAGGGACTTCCTGTGCCCTGCAGTGCTAACTCTCTTGCCAACATCTCAGGGTCAGGATCTCTTGTGGGTTCCTGAGGATGGTAGGGCTAGTGGGAAGGACACTAGGCTGGGATACAAGGCCAAGTTTCTTGATACAATGGTTCTGGCCAAGCATGAGGCCCAGTGTCCATTCCCTGTAGAGTTGGGCACTGTCATCTTATGTCATAGTGTAACTAGTGAAGTGTAAGGCTCACAGAAGTCCATCTTCTCAGGATAGAAGGCCTGAGACCCACCATGGTGTATCTGGCCAGTGTGCTGCCAGATACAGACCTTCTGTTTCCTGACCAGGGAAGTTTGATCCTGCCCACCACTTACTCCTTTTGGACTTGGACCTCACAGTTTTGGGGCTGGAGCTGTGAGGGCATAGAGTTAGCATGCATTAGTGCTTGAGGGTGGGGGTGTCTGAACTATTGTTACTATAGCTGTCAGTGAGAGGAGTGGGTCAGCTCTTGGCAGTTGCATTTACCTCTGGGGTATCCTTCCCTGATGTTACCATAGTGGCCAAACCTCTGAGATCATGTGGTATAAAATTAAAAAACTCTGAAGGGTATATGATAAAAATCACTTTATTTTTCTCCCTGGAAGGAACTGATGTCTGATGTTACCAGTTTCTTAACTGAACTTCCAGAGATAACCTACCACATATAGCCTATCACACACAGACTCACACACACCACATCCCTTTTTGCCTTCATTATACAAATGAGAGCTCATGATGCACACTATTCTGCACCAGATCATAACATGGAGACTGTCCTCATTCTTTTACCTGGCAGTGTATTATTATAGTAGGAGAACGATGGTTTAATAGGGGTGAACTTAGGAAATGCCAAACTGCATACCCATGGTCAAACAGAGTGGCTTGTCTTTATTACGGGATTGGCAAACAAATACATATTTGTATGTTTTAAGATACAACAAATGCATCATTGCTTCTGACTCTCCACTGTTCTTTTTCCACTGACTGCTTTTTTACCCCACCTGAGTGTTTTCTCCTGTGGTCCAGTCAAACACCTAATGAGTGAGACAGCATAATTTTGTCATTGGATTGTTAAAATAACTTAAGATTAATTTTTAACTATATGAATAATAAATATATTCACTTTATAAAGTTAAAATACCCTTTGCCCCTTTTCTGTAAGTGGATCCTGGTCCTCTCAATAAAACCAGCATTTCTACCCCTCAGCATTTCTCATGTCTTCTAGGTAAAGTGAGTTCTAATCACCTGGGGAAAATTATTTTAATGCAAAGCCAACAAGATTTTCCTCTTTTTTTTAAAATTGTAAATAGCTAAAATATTGATAACTAAAACGTGATCCCTTGTGGAAGTAGCTTGGTATTCTTAGGTGGCCAATTGTAATGTTTATGAAGCTATTGGAATCTGGAAAGAGTGAATCAAAAATGCAATTATAAATAGATGCTTTCCCATCTTCTCTGGATGTTTGGGTGAGCTGTTCACCCTCAGTACATCATGGGGGACAAGCCCATTGGCTTTGGGAAGGGACTCTATGTGTTCATCTCTATATCCACCAGACTGGGCTGATGAGGGCACCAGCCATGGGTAGGGGAGCCACCTTGGGCTATGGAAGCTTGGTGCTGCCCTCTCCCATGGTCCCCACACAGCAGAGCTCCATCCATCCATCCCTTTAGACTATGAAATCTTGGTGTCTAGCACCAGTCCCCAAGGTCCTTGCATGCAGAATGGCATGTTTCACTCTCACAGACTCTCCATGGGCAGAGACCTCACCTGCTTATATGCTATCCAAGTCAGGCAAGGTCCTGTGGCTGTGAGGGGCTTGGATTTTGACCCAGGTCTTCCAACTTCACACTCTTTGCTACATATAGTGATGATGGTGAGAGTTCTGAGACCCCCCCCCATACACACACAGCAATAAAATATAAGTGAAAAGTTTTTATTCAGCCCCTTAGTTCCCCTGGGCCTCTTCTGAGTTCAAATAAGTACTTCCCTTCAAAGTTGGTCCAGCCTTTCTGAAAATACAGATCAGTCACAATGAAAATGTCCTATCATGGATGAAAGTGGTGTGGAGAGGAGTTAGATACCCTAGGGGCTGAGTTAGGTCAGAAGGCCTTCGGAGTGGGAGGTCACCTCTGCAGAGTGCAGTTGCAGTCCTCCTACCTTCTCTGTATTAGCTGAGTGTTTTGGTTTTTTTTTTTTTTTAAATGCATATATTATTTATGTAATCTAGAAAAACAAGTCCATCTTCATTTATGGGAAAAATGCACAGGTGAGCTGACTGTTAGTGTCTAGTAGCATTTCTGTTTTTTTACACTTGTGTGGAACTTGTGTGGAGCTGTTATAAGAAGCTCTGGGTGGCACCTGGTTACAGCATTCAGATGCTGACCAAAAGATCAGTGGTTCAAATCCACCAGCCACTCTGCAGAAGAAAGATGAGGCAGTCTGCTTCCATAAAGATTAACAGCCTTGGAAACCCTATGAGGTAGTTCTTTTCTGTCCTATATGGTGGGTATGAGTTGGAATTGTCTTTTTGGCAGTGGGTTGGAAGCTGTGTTGAAAAGCTGTAGTTGGGGGGGATGTTTGGGAGGGATCCCCACTGAGCCATTCACTTTTGTCCTCCCCAGCGGACAGTACCTTTGACAGTGGTCAGGGCTCCACTGTGTACTCAGACTCGCAGAGCAGCCAGCAGAGCATGGTGTACAGCTCCCTACCAGATGCCCTGCCCTGTGTCTACAGTCCCCCAATGAGTGAGGGACCCGGCCTGCCAACCAACCTGCCCACCCTGGGCACCTACCAGCAGCCCACTGCGGTGAGTCCACCTACCCTGTCTTATACACTGTGCCTGGGGGCAGTGCCAGCTTGTGTCCCAGGTCAACAGCTCCACAGGAAGAGAAGCAGAGCCAAAAGACATCGAGAAGGCCCATCTTTGCTAGTCACTAGATAACAGCAAACTGAAGTGGCCTACAAGTACCTAAGTTGCCCAGAGCCTTGCTGAGTAAGAAAAAATACACAGTGTTAAAATGCATATTTCAGTTATATGTAGGCTTGTGACATTGTGTTCCCACTTGGGAGCAAGTAAGTCATGATGGCTGGTGAGTGACACAGTGTGAACTATGACAACATGCCTCCCCTCTGACCCAAAGTGGCTATGAGGGAAAAGGGACCTTAAACTACTCAAAAAATGGCAAGAAAGTGTTACTTATGATAGTGAGGCATCACGTTAGTCTAATGTTCAGTTGAGGGGCTGTTAAATAGATCTTGGCTCCTCTCCATTGGATATTGTGCAGCTGCTGAGATTATAGTCATGGAAACAGCAGAGACACAGGGGATGTTTCCTGTGAGAATGTTTGAGACGTGGGAACAAAAACACCTCATGCTTTGATTACACTTGTGGAATAATTTGCAGGGTATGGGTGAAGAGTAAGTGTAGTAGGTGAAAGTGGAAATTGCTGGATGAAGGGGGTGGCATTTCAAATTTTACTCCTCAAAGTAGAGTTGACTTTGCATTTTTATTTATTTATTTTATTTTTTGCAGTGTTTTTTACCCTCTCCTCCCACCCCTGGTAACCAACAAAGAAAGTTTTCTTCCATATATAAACCTTTCCTTGACTTTTTACAATAATGAACTAATACTATATTTGTTCTTCTGTGATTGACTTATTTCACTTAGCGTATTGTCTTCCAAGTTGATCCACATTCTGCAGTGTTTTGCAGATTCTACATATTTCTTTTTAGTGTTATATAGTATTCCATTAGGTGTATGTACCCTAGTTTGGTTATCCATTCTTCTGTTGATGGACACGTAGGTTGTTCCCATCTTCTTGCTATTGTAAATAGTGCTGCGATGAACATGCGTGTGCACATAACTGTTCTTGTCCTGGCTCTCGCTTCTTTACGATATATACCTAGTGATGGGATTGCTGGGTCCAATGGTATTTTTAATTCCAGCTTCTTAAGGATTCACCATACTGTTTTCCGCAGTGGTTGTATCATTTGACAGTCCCACCAGCAGTATATGAGAGTCCCAGTCTCTCCACATCCTAACCAGCATTTGTTATTTTCTGTCTTGTTGAACTTTGCTATTAGTGCTGGGGTAAGATCGTATCTCATTGTTGTTTTGATTTGCATCTCTCTAATGGCTAACTAGAAGGCTGGCGGTTCAAACCCACCAGCCACTCCTCGGAAGGAAAATGGAGCAATCTATTTCCATAGTGATACTACCTCGGAAACTCAAGGAGGGGTCGCTATGAGTCGGGTCCGTCTGGACAGCACATAACAACAACAACAACAAATGGCTAATGATTGTGAACATTTCTTCATATGTCTGTTGGCTGCCTGAATATCCTCCCTGGTGAGGTGTCTGTTCCTGTCTTCTGCCCATTTTTGAATTGGATTCTTTGTCTTTTTGTTGTTGAGGTGTTGGAGTTTTCTATAAATTTTAGAGATAACTCTGTGGTCAGATAATGTCATTGCCAAGCATTTTTTCTCAATCTTAAGTTCTCTTTTGACTCTTTTGGAGAAGTCTTTGAAAGGTCCCATTCATCTAGTTTATCTTCTGCTGTTTGTGCATTTTGGGTTATGCTTGATAGTCTATCTATGCCATAAATTAGGGCCCCTAATTTGCCCCTAGTTTTTCCTTAAGGACCTTTATAGTTTTAGGTTTCATATTAACTCTTTGCTCCATCTGGAATTAGTTTTTGTGTATGGTGGGAGGTACGAATCTTGTTCCATTTTTCTGCAAATGGATATCCAGTTTTGCCAACACCATTTGTTAAAGAGACCATCTCTTCCCCATTTAATGGATTTTGGCCCTTTGTCAAAAATCAGCTGACCATAGGTCAATATATATATTTCTGGGTTCTCAATTCTGTTCCACTGGTCTATGTGTCTGTCATTGTTCCAATACCAGGCTGCTTTGACCACTGTGGTTGTATAGTAGGTTTTGAGATCCAGGAGCATGATACTTCCTGCTTTGTTGTTGTTCTTCAGTAGTGCTTTGCATATTTGACATCTCTTTCCTTTCCATATACAATTAGTGATTTTTTTGTATTCTTAAGGAATGTTGATGGGATCTGGATTGGGATTGCATTGAATGTATAGATTGCTTTGGGTAGAATTGACATTTTCACATGTTTAATCTTCCTATTCATGCGGGTGGTATGTTCTTCCATTTGTGTAGATCTCTTATGGTTTCTTGAAGTAGTGTTTTATAGTTTTCTTTGTACAGGTTTTTTGTGCCCCTAGTGAGATTTATTCCCAAGTATTTTATTTTTTTTTGTAGCTATTTTAAATGGTATTGATTTCCTTATTTCTTTTTCAGCAATCTCTTTGGTGGTGTAGAGGTATCCAGCTGATTTTTGTGTGTTGATCTGTATCCTGCCACTGTGCTAAGTCTCTCAATTAGTTCTAATAATTTTTTTGCTGAGTCTCTTGGATTTTCTATGTATGGATCATATCATCAAATAGGGATGGTTTTACTTCTTCCTTACCAATTTGGATGCCTTTGATTTCCCTTTCTTGCTTTATTGCCCTGGCTAGGGCTTCCAGTACAACATTGAATAGAAGTGGTTTAAAGGGCATGTTTGTCTGGTTCCTGTTCCCAAGGGGAATGGTTTCAGTCTCTCCATTGAGAATAATATTGGTTATTGGTTTTGTATATATGCCCTTTATTATGTTGAGGAATGTCCCTTCTATTCCTATTTTGCTTAGAGTTTTGATCAGGAATGGTGTTGGAATTTATCAAATGCCTTTTCTGCATCGATTGATATGACCATGTGGTTCTTTTCCTTTGTTTTATTTATGTGGTAGATGATGTTGATTGTGTTTCTAATGTTGAACCATCCCTGCATACCTGATGCGAACCCCACTTGAACAAGATGTATTATTTTTTTGGTATATTGTTGGAGTCTTTTGGCTGAAATTTGGTTGATGAGTTTTGCATCTATATTCATGAGGGATATTGGTCTATAGTTTTCCTTTTGAGTGATGTCTTTGCCTGGTTTTGGTATCAAGGTTAAACTTGCTTTATAAAATGAATTTGGGAGGATTTCATCCTTTTCTATATTCTGGTGTCGTGTGAATAGGATTGGTGTCAGTTCTTCTCTGAATGTTCAGTAGAATTCTCCAGTGAAACCATCTGAGCCAGGGCTTTTTATTTGTTGGTATTTTTTTTTTTAATGACCTGTTCTATTTCTTCTTTTATTATGGGTCTGTTCAAATTTTCCACCTTAGTCTGTGTTAGTTTAGGTAAGTATGTTTCTAGAAATCTGTCCATTTCTTCTAGATTTTCAAATTTGTTGGAGTGCATTTCTTTATAGTATCCTGATATTAGCCTTTAAATTCTGTTGTGACATCACCCAATTCATTTCTTATTTGTGTTATTTATATTTTCTCCCTCTTTTCCTTTGTTAAACATGCCAGTGGTTTGTCAATTTTATTAATCTTATCAAAAAACCAACTTCTAGTCTTTTTGACTTTTTCTAGTATTTTTCTATTTTCTGCTTCATTTATTTCTACTTGAATCTTTTTCCTTTTCTTCTGGTGACTGTAGGATTTTTTTTTTTTTTTTTTTGCTGCTCTTTTACTAATTTTTGGAGGTGTTGTGTTAAGGTGTTGATTTTGGCTCTTTCTTTGTTTTTGATGTGTGCATTTATTGCTGTAAACTGGCTTGCGATCACTGCTTTTGCTGTGTCCCAAAGGTTTTGGTATGTTGTGTTTTCATTCTCATTCGATTCAAGGAATTTTTTAATTTCAATTTTAATTTCTTCTATTACCCAGCCATTTTCAAGGAGGGTGTCATTCAGTTTCCATGTGTTTGCTCTTTTTCTGTTGATCTTCCTATTGTTGATTTCTAATTTTATAGCATTGTGATCTGAGAAGATGCTTTCCAGTATTTCAATGCAAAATTCACTTCAGGAATTTGCGTGTCATTGTTGCGCAAGAGCCATGCTAATTTTCTCTATATCGTTCCAATTTTAGTACATGTACTGCTGGAGTGAGCATTGGCATTATTTTTTTACTTTGTTTTTTTTTTTTTTTTAATTCTAAAGAAAGCAAGACTCACCTTCTAGTTGACAAAGTGCTCAACCCTAGAACAGTTACTCTTGATCTCCAAGTCGCCGGAGGAAATCCTCAGGGTGACTTTGATACTTCTTCACTAAGGCCCAGAGGAGGTTTTATTGGCCATGGTGTGGATTCTGTCTCCACCAGGTCGCCCATGAGACCTTCCTGTTTCTCTGCTTCTCCTGTGTCCTTCACTTCACTATCTTGATTCTGGGGCACTGCAGCCACTCTGGCCACCCACTGCCCATATCCTACAGTCACCAGAGTAGTCATCAGTATAAGATCAGGCTGTCTCTGTGGGGCTCTGGTTATTCTAGGAGCTTATTGGGGGTCTTCCCTGTCATGACTGTCCCAAGCCTGCCACAGCGCTTTCTTCCTTCATGCCTGCTGGGGCATGGCAGGTCCTGTAGGGAGGTGCTACAGCTCTGCCCCTCCTACCTTTGCTGGCCAAACCCCAGAAGTCAGCAAGCACTGGCAACACTGCTCCTGTTACAGAATGAGCTGAAGCACAATTTTTAAATGGCAGGAGAGCGCCCACTTAGGAGGAAGTAGCAAAATAGCTATTCTTGCCTGTAAGGATCATGCAGGGCAGGGCTGAGTAGGTAAGCTTGCCTGTTTTCACCATTCTGAGCCCAGGGCTTAGTCTCCCGTGGCCAGAGGAACAGGTGCTCCTCCTGGGCTTCCACTGCACCATCTCAACTTGGCCACTTCTCTGGGTAGGTCTCAATGGAACCAGAGGGGTAAAGGAATGTGACCTGATACATCATGTACAGCTGCAGGGCAGGGCACCACCTTCTGCACCTTGCCTGTTTATGGGAAGCACCTGCAGGGATCCCCAGGACAGGAAGGGCTGTGGGCATCTCTTGCCTTCCCCATACAGTGCCTATTCTGTGGACGATGGCTGTCCCAAGCCTGCCACAGCACTTTCTTCCTTCATGCCTGCTGGGGCATGGCAAGTCCCATAGGGAGGTCCCAGACCACTGGAAAGGGAAAAGAGTATGGTGGAGGGGAGGCCCCCCAATGGTTGTCTTGGAAAGGAGAGGAGACCCTCCGTCAGCCACACACTGGGCTCTGGAACTGCTTGGGCTAGCTCTGCTTGTGGTGTCAGGCACTGACATCAAGGGTATATGGTCAGCTGTGTGAGCTGGAGCATGGCACACAACCACCAGGGCTGCAGATAAGTCCAGTGTGGCGCCTTGACTCATGACCATTTGCCTGCTGTTTCCGCCTTGCCCTGGGCTATTGTCACCAGACCACATAATGAAACATGAGCAAGCAATAGCAGTATTGGGAATACTACCACTTACTGTATCCCAAAAACCTCCCAGGAGAGAACTCCCATTCTAGATATGGAAGATCATGATCCGACTTCATACATTATAGCTCCTGTTTAGTTGTATTTCTCTGTCTACCCCTGCTTCTTCTGTTTCCACCATTCTGAGTCAGTCCTGGACATGAAGGCATTTTCCCCATTAGTATATAGTGTGTATATCCAAGTGATAGGGACTCAGGAAACAAAACCATAGCCCTACTGTTATACCTAGAAAGTCAACAATACTTTCTTAGTATCACCAAGTATGCGGTGCCCCCATCCCAGTGTGTTGGTTGCTTTCATGGTTTTTACACTGAGCCTGCAGCCCCACCCTTCTTCCACCTCCTGGTGGTATAGTCACTGAAGGCCCAGTCCAGTATCTCCCAACCCCCAGGTCTATGTACCATGCAGACCATCTCCACACTGCCCTACCAGCATTCCTTGTCTCCAAGCCGTCTGTGTGGTTGGCCAATGCATGCAGTTGTACAGCTGCAGTCCTATGTGGAACAGGCACCCACTGTTGTCCCTTCCCTTGCTTTGGCCTGACACAGCCTCCATAACTGTGTGCTCTCATGGTTGCATAATATCCTGTGGGCTGGTGCACCAAGACATCCCCTTGTTGGAAGGGGATGCTCTGTTCTAAGCTCTGCAGAGTTATGAATATACCCCTGGGGAGATTATCACTGGTAAGGTGATGGGGCACAGAGTAGTGAGGGGTGGGCAGTTCCACCTGGCCCTTTGTCCCCACGGCTGTAGAACCTGGGGGCTAGGGCCAGGGCCTTTGTCTGAGCAGTGCTGAGCAAGGCCCTCTCTGCAGCCTGGCCCACCCCCTCAGCAGCACTTCCCGGAACCATCGATGAGCTTCGCACCTGTGCTGCCACTGCCCAGTGCCCCCATGCCCACAGGCCCAGGCCAGCCACCACCCGTGAGCCAGCAGGTGAGTGTGGGCCCTGTCCCTTCTCAGGACCAGCTGCCTGACAGCCCTCATGGGCTGGGGTGGTTTCACGCCATTGAGGTTAGGGGCACAGTTGTTTAGCCAGCATGCAGCACTATCTTCTCTAGCAGCCACAACCATGTGAGCAGAGGTGGATGGCATTTGTGTATGGCCACTACCTGCAGAAACTTCTCCAAGTGTGCATAACTTGGGGGCAGCTTATGTTGAGAGGGGTGACAGGGACTTCTGAAACAGAAAAAAGGAACAGACAGACAAATATTAGAAGGCACTACTCCCCTAAACTTTCCATCCCATGAATCCCTCTCCTTCTGTTCCTACTTCACCCTCCTGTTATCTACCCCTGTGTCTACCCCCTACCTACCTTTCCTGGTGTCTGGGCCTGTGACTCAGGGCCTGCCCATGGCAGGTGCTCCCTACATGGCTTCACTATTTAGATGGTTGTGGAGGGTGAGCTGAGTCGGCTTGGTGGTGGGCATGTTTGGTGTGTTTTCATGCTTGCTGTTTTACACAGGTGAGGTGCATATCCTCCCTGTCTTGGCAGAATGGCTGGCCTAAAATAAGCACCGTTCTCTCCCACCAGCCTCCACCACTGGCCCAGCTGACACCCTTGCAGCCAGTTCTGGCTCCACAGCCCCTGGGTCAGCTCCAGCCGGTGCCCCTGCACCTGCCTCCGTACCTGCCTCCAGCTGCTCAGGTGGTGGCCCCCACACCGCTGAAGCCCCTTCAGATGCCGCAGGTGCCCTTGCCACCGCTCGCTCAAGTTCCAGCTCCTCAGGTACCCACGTGCCTCTATCTCTAGTTGCTTGTCCCCTTGGTCAAGGGGCTAACCCTATCCAGGCTGGTGTGCCAGGGCCCCCATGGTGGCCTGATTGCTGTTTGTACATGGAAACCTAGGCAGTCTGGCCTAGGGCTGTGGGACAGGGCTCTACTGTGTGCACTATGACATCCCAGGATACTCTGCCTGACCTTCTGACTTACAGCATGTAGTGGACACTTCGTCTACTTCCTGCAAAGACAACTCTGCTTTCTGCCCTCCCACCTACCACCTGTATATCCCATAATGTTGAGGAGAATTTCCCTCAACTGAGCTGTTTCTCTTTTGTCCTCTATCCCCACTTCTTTCCCACCTGGGTGATCATTTTCTTACCTTCCTTCAAGGCCACACTGCCTTTACAGACTGTGATTAGTAGGCTGAGTTCTGGATGCCCTTGGGTCCTCATGGACAAGGAAGCCCCTGTGTTGGAGGTCTCCTGTAGAGATGGGAGAGCAGAGGTTAAGTAGCTGGTTTCCCCCAGTGCCTAGTCAGCAATATGCCCATCATCAGGGCTTTGAAAAATATTATAGGCATCTGTCCCAGGAGCATCCTGGTATGGAGTAGGTTTGGTCCAGTGCCAAGATCAGCAGCAAAAATACTGAGCTCAGTATAGAAATTGTGTCTAAAATGATGTGTTTATGCTGCAGAACTTGATTGATAGGATAAACCCAAGGTCTTGTTGAGTGTATTTCTTTGGAGATCAGTAGTAAACTGAGGGGCATGGCTGACCACAGGGAAGACTGGTCACCAAGTCATTAAGGTCAACTTGCAAAAGCAGCCTCTAATGTCTCTGGGGAAGCAGTGGCTATACTAGTAATATCTGACAGCAACTGATGCAGATGTAATTGGTGTGGGAACATCTCCCTATTTAATGAGAGTTAGTGCTGATGAACATTTCATAGACATTCGGGGGCATGGATGGATTTTACCTCATATACTCCAGTTTCAGTTTTGCTTAGCAGTGGCAGGACAGCAAGTGCTACTTCATTTTGCAGTTGGGATTTCCTATAAGGCATGTGATTCATGTGATTTATGGCACCACTTAGAAGGTTCTTTCCTAAGAGTTATCTTGCTTATCTGGGGCTGTGTCTATCTTCACACCAAGTTGGAGGTGGTTTTAGATGTTGAACTACATGATGGTCTTGCTAGCTAGTGGTTATAGTATTTGATTTTTCAAGCAGACTAATGTTGTTTTGGCATATATTTGCTGCCTGGTAATTGCACTGAGGTGTAGGTTATGTGACATAATCTTTCCACCAAAATGTCATTATTTTAAATAATGAGAACCTACTGGAAAATTTGGAGTGCGAAACCCATGCAATTAAATGTCAGATTTCCCAAGAATATATAGATATCACTGAGAAGATATACACACATATGGGAGGTTTTGGGTGCCCCTTCTTGGGGGAAAAGGAGGGTCTTGCCTGGCTGAAATGTACATGCCTGCCAGCGTGAACCTGCTCCCCTTCCACCCCAACCAGGAGCTATGTGGCGATCAGCCCAGTCAGCAAAGGGGTACTCAAAAGTATGCTTTACATATAGCCCTAAAGAATTTGATTTCAATTTAAGTTTATATTGGTTGGGGGCCATAAGACTAAAATTGTTTCAGCTGTTTGGAACCAGTCTAGTACCTCATACAGTCCTGACCGTCCTGCACAAGAGGGTATCTGAGCCTGTGTCCACTGATATGGCCTCAGTGTCTGACTGCCCTTAAGTGCCTCAAGACCATTTTAGGGACACAGTGATAAAGCCCCCACATGGCCCATCTTATCAAGGTAGAGTGAAAGGCCCTATAGTGGGGCTATAGGGAGACTGCTTAGCAGGTCCCTTCTTCATTCTGCACCCACTAGAAGCCCCTGACTTTCCTTTTTTATTTGAAAGTTTTTATTTGAATAGTTTCATATACTTGCATTTCCATTTAAGTTGCATTTTTATGTTTGGGTTCCTTCCTGCAGCAGCTACACAAAAGCACTGATTTCCTCCTTCCATATTCACCATCTTTTATTGCTATTATAAAGCTAACCCCAGGAAGTTATTACAGGTGCAGCAGGCTTAGTGTGGTGCCCTCTGTGGTAGCCCACGACTGAGCATGATTGATCTGCTCTTGTATCTCTTTCAGATGCCTCAGCTTCCTGTCATTCCTCCCATCACCCCCCTGGCAGGGGCTGACAGCCTCCCTCCAGCTGTCCCTGACTTACCGGCTGCCAGCCTGCCCCCGGTGCCGCCGCCGCCACCGCCTCAGTATTTCTCTCCGGCTGTGATTTTGCCAAGCCTCCCTCTTAACCCTACTGCCCCTTTGCCCACCTCTCCGGCCCTGCCTTTGCAGGGGGTCAAGTTGCCCCATGCCCCCTTGGCAGTGCCCTGCCGGACAATTGTGCCAAATGCACCAGGCACCACCACTGCCATCCCTCTGCTTGCCGTGGCCCCACAGGGCGTGGCCACCTTGTCCATCCATCCTGCTATGGCCCAGCTGCCTGCCCAGCTGCCCCCACAGCCTATGTACCCAGCTGCCTTCTCACATATTGTGCCCAGTGAAGTACCACCTTCTCCCCATCATGCTCAAAACCTGCGAGTGGTCCCCCAGCAGAAGCAGCCAGTACCACCCCAGCCACAGATGCCCCAGCCACAGCTGCCCACGCTTCCTCAGCCCTCTCAGCCAAGCATCAGCCATCTCTCTGAGCAGACTGCTCTGGCTGCTGGGGCAGGGACCCAGGTAATTTATCACCAAATGCTGTCCTTCCAAGGCCAGGAGGCTTCTTTAGAACCTTCTTAGAAGCAGGAGCTTCTTCCCCTCCCTTCTTTGGGCCCTTTGCCCTTCATTTGATCAAGATTGAGAAGGGCTAAGAGGAGACACTGCCATGAAAATGTGTTAGAGAAGGAGGCTGAAGCCAGTTAAAGCTCCTCCCACTTCTCAGCATGTGTCCGGAGGAGCAGGGATGTGGTAGGTGGCAAATAGTTGTTCTTTACAGAGAATTAGTAATCACTGCTGGGTGGTGGAAGTTTCTAGGGCTGCAGTTGGCTTTGGTGGCACCTGCCCTCATCTGGGCTGGAGGGCAGTATCATACCACCCAGGCCCAGCAGCCTCAGTGACTCTTGCATTTGAGCTGCAACTGGGATGCTGGGGTGCTAATTCTGAATTTTCTTTTTAAAACACCGTTTAAGAAATTACCACCCAGGAGGCAGACGAGGGTCTTCCCCTCTTAGAAACTAAGGGGACCTGGCTAATGTGAACCACACAAGGCTGGGGCTACTGGTGAGAAGGGCAGGTGTGGCGGAAGCAGGAGGTACAGTGACCTGGGGTCTTGGTGGAGCAGTCCCCATGGCCCTTGCCTGTTGACTGTGAAAGAGCAGTCTGGGGTATGGCACCTGGGCTTGAATTTGCAGTGAGTATGCTATGTAGTAGGGCCGATTCGATGGCAAACAACAACAGCAACAACATGCTATGTAGTGACTTGCCGCACAGTGTGGTGGGGGATGTGTTTGCAGTGCTCCTGCCTTGAGAGCAGGGGGCCCTGGTCTATCCCAGCTCTAATCCTCACAGCTGTGTGACTGTGGGCACATTCCTCAGTAAAGTGGGGCCAGTGACCTCATTTTTATCTTGTGAAGATTTGTCTAGAGAATGTGGGAAGGTGCTTTTGTGCACATGGTATGTATACTCCTATTCTCCTGAATACCATTTTTTGCTATATTATTTCCAGAAAGGGTTCTTCTTTAGAGGAAGAGGGGACAGTATTTATTGATCAACAGGGTGATGCTGGTTTAAAGAAAGAGCAAAAATCCAGTGCCATGATTGAATGAGTGCTGCCTAGTGTAAGGAACGCCCCGGCTTTTGTTCACATGTCAGTGGATTCTAGGTCAGGTCTATTTTCAGAGGAAAGTGAAGGGCAAAGGGAAGGAAGAATGATGAGCCTCAAGGCCTGGCCATGTACATGTGTGTCCTTGGCTGGGGATGTTGTCCCACTCTTGTTCTGGGGAGGACTTGGTGGCTGACTTTGTTGCGCTCCTGCTCAGGCACCTTTAGGTGGAGTTGTCTATGCAGCCTAGGGCCATGAACCTCCAAGATCACCAGCCAGGCTTGGTGGCCATTGGGAACCTGTACTGATGAGCAGATGGCCACCCCATAAGTCTCCCTCTGCTGAAGGCAGAGACTCCCTTGGATGCAGCAGCTGGGCCCTGTGCAGGAGAGATGCCCTCTGGCCAGATTGCTGCTGCAGTGGCTGGCCTTAGATTACTCTGACTCCACATCATGCCTCTGTGTCCCAGAGTATTACATCCAGGAGCCTTAAATAAAGATGTCCCCTCCAAATCTAGAGGGGGATGAGAAAATGTTATAAGTTTTCTCCCTCTCCATCCTGAATTGGAGCAACTTTGGGGCCTCTGTTTTTCCAAGGGGAAGACTTCACAAATCCAGATCTTTGGGCCTTTGTCTCTATCTGCTCATCTTTTATTCATATGCCCCTGAAGAGCTTTTAAAAAAAGAGGAAAGAAGAAATGGGGAAATGAGGCATGAGCTTCCAGATTAGCCTCACAGGAGATCAGGACCTCTAGAAAGTCTTGGGTGTAGCTAGGATTTCAGGAGGGTCCCTGCATGGGCTTTGTGCTATCCTCAGGGTGCCTGGGTAGGAGAGAGAGCACTAAAGCAGGCCTGTATGGTGGTGACAAGGAGCCCAGTTTTGATGTTAAGTGTAATTTGTACATGTCGTCATTAATTCTTTTGAGTTGGCCTCTAACTAATGGTGATTTAATGTGCAACACAATGAAATATTGCCCGATCTGGACCATCCTCATAGACTTATAATTTTTCATGGGGGCTTAGCTAGAAATTTGTAATTGAAACCAGTTTTAGGTATTCTCACACTAATTTGGAAGTCAGTTCCAAAGGGGAATATAGTAATTCCCATTTTTGTTTCTGCTGAATCTGTATACTAAACATACCACATAAAAATAGTCTTATTTTAGGGGAATTGATTTGAAAGAGGGCAGTCCCTGTCCCTGCCTGATATGTGCTCACTAACACTCCAATGGACCCTCAGCCGAGGAGAGCCTACCTTGACCTGCATCCACATCCCTGTGTCACAGGTCCTCCTGGGCCCCCCAGCCCCATATGCAGTGGACCCTGCAGCCCTGGTCTCTGTATCCATGCCGCCCACAACTGTTCTCTCCCCACCACTGCTGGAGCTGCTGCCCCCAGTTGCTGGCCCTGAGCTCCTACCACAGCTCTCCAGCTCCCTAGCCTCCACAGTGATGGCAACTGCACAGAGCCTGCCTTCTCAGACCACCACACTCCTGCCTCCTGCTACCCCACCACTGCCCACTGGGGCCCTGGTCGCTGCTCCCTGCCCTGCCATCCAGCTGACAGTAGACCCAGCCCAAGAGGTATGTACTCTGCTACCCTTGGGGCATGACCAGTGGGTGGGGTTCTATACCTGGGGTCTTGGCTATAGCTCATAGTTAGGGGCATGTAGGTGGAAGAGAGTATGTGACTTGGCCAGGACAGCCACAGGCTGTTTTTGCCTTCTCCTCTTTCTTGAGATCTTACACTCTTTTTAAGCTCACAGTAAGATAGAGAGTGTTGTTTTATTGTGTGGGTTTAGAAAGCAGACTTCCTCAGATGACACAAAATTCTGTGGAACATCTTTATATAAAGGAAAAAATGTTGTCTTCAGGGATGATGAAAGTGGGATTATGTTTTTGAAAATGAGCTGGCATAATGCAGCCCCAGGTTTTAGAAATTTGCTTGGTTCCAAGCATTAGGGTTTGTACCCTTACCCTGGTGGGCACATCTCCTTGCAGAGGAAGGTGGCCTTAGCCCTGGGGCTGTGGGAAGATGGAGCAGACAGTGACACAGCCTCTTTCCCACACTCTTACAGCAGGAGCAGGCAGTGCAGGACAAGCAGCCAGGCCTCCTACAGAGCTGTGAGAGGTAATGTGACCCTGGGTGGGTCCCTGCCCAGCCATCCCCATTCCAGCCCATGTGGCTATTCCAGGGTGGGTTGCTGCTACAGGTTGCTTAATGCTGCTGGGGTTTTTAACAAATGTCAGTCCCTGTTTAAGCCTTGCCTGGCAAACTCATAGTGAGTTCTTGTTGAATTTGGTTGTTAAATGCCCCCTCTATGCTCTGGGCCACTGTGGGTCCCAGCAGTGGTATGCAGAGTTGAGGCATATTCTAGGTGGAAGGTTGGATGGACCCAGAAAGAAGCCTCTGCCCATCTGGCAGGGAGAAGGCCAGAAGATAAGTCTCTGGGTAGCATCAGAGTTGGCTAGAACCTTGGCCTCCCAGCTTATCTCCACTTCTTGGCATTTGCTGTCACCAGGAATGGTTCCTCTTTTGAGGGATGGAGTAATGTCCTTATTGGGAGAACTGCCACTGTCATGTCCTTCTCAGGCCTTCACAGTAGCCTCAATTTTTGGTATGTTGGCATGCTACTATTCCTGTTGCACAGATGAGAAAATGGAGGCACAATGAAGGTTTTGTTTTCTGAATCCCCACATCTACTCACTGTACAGGGTCCTGATAAGGCAGAGAGGACCATGGGCACACAGACAGTAGTGGGAGGACCAGGGATCCTATGCTTCCACATGATCCCCAGGCACCATGCAGAGATAGTACAGGAAGAAAGGGTACAGGCTTGCGATCCTCATGCAGGCACCCCTCATCTGCAGATCCCTGGAGATTGAGCACACCCAGGCAGCTGGAGCTTCTAGCCTCTTTTTCCCGAAGCCAAGCTTCCCAGCTGTAGCTTTCTTGTGGGTCGTTCCCTTGGGTGGCACTGACATACTTGGTTTCTGTTCAGCTATGGGGGCTCTGACATCACTTCTGGGAAGGAAATGAGTGACAGCTGTGAAGGTGCTTTTGGAAGTGGGAAGCTCGATGGCAAGTCCTCTAAGAAGCACCATCGAAAATCCACCCGTACACGTTCCCGCCAGGAGAAAGCCAGCCGGCCCAAGCTGACCATCCTAAACGTGAGTGGTGAAAGTGTGGCTGCACTGGTGGGTGGCTGGAGCCTTTATGATATGCTGACTACTGGGTGTTCCCTAGGTGTGCAACACAGGGGACAAGATGGTGGAATGCCAGCTGGAGACACACAACCACAAGATGGTAACATTCAAGTTTGATCTGGATGGGGATGCACCGGATGAGATTGCCACATACATGGTGAGGCTGAGTGGGGTGCCCAGCCTTGCTTACTCAGAGAGATTTCCTTGCCTTGCCTTGGTGGGAAAATTTCCCTGCATTCTCTGGGCACATGCAAGGGAGGCTAGCTTTGTGTCCACATCATGGGGATGCTGGCTGGCTGGCTGGGTGGTGGGTATGCCATAGGTGCTGGCTGGCCACAATGGGTGTTTCCTGGGACTCATGGATCAGCTCTGGCAGAGAGTGCTGATCCTGCACTTGGTGCTGTAGAGGCTCCTCCTCATGCCCTGCGTGAACATTGATGGATGAGAAGATGCAATAAAGGATGTTCTTTAATCACTCTAAGTGATGTTTCCTAAATAGCTCTGGAGGACATAAATAGAGAAATAGAGAGGATGTTGAGGTTAGATAACTTTGGCAGACCTGACTGAAGCCTTCCTGCCCTACCATTTCCCTGCCAAGAGTCCCTTGTGTCATCCTTACCCCTCAGATACAGTGCAGATGCTGACTGGGCCCTGCACAGTCCTCACCCTGCACCTCTGTCTGCACCCACTCTCTCTATCCTCCAGTCCTCTTAAACACCATCCCTGTCCTCACCCCAGGATCCTTCTCCTCTGCCTGTATACCAGTGCACCTGTTTGTTCACCACTTTCTTTGTGCTCTTTATGGGATCCCAGCTGTATCTTGGAACCTGGCCCCAAGCTGGAAAGGGATAGTGGACCCCATTAAATATTCAGCTGAGTGAACACAAACAAATGTGCTAATGATTTGTGAATGTCCGTGAAAGGGTTTACTAGTGGTTTGAACATGTCTTTGCCCATGAAATGCTCTCCTGAGGAGCATCTGTAAGCACCTTACCTAGCATTGTTTTTCCCAAACCATAGTTCATGTGAGAGGGATGGATGTTTAGGAAAAATGTTCTAAAAGGTCTCTAATAGCCTTCCCAGTGAAATGTTCTGTGCTGTCCAGTACTATAGCCTAGCCTTATATGGCTATTGAGCTTTTAAAATGTGGCTAGTGTAACTGGGTGTACTACTAAAGAAGGGGCACAGTGGGCAGATCCAACCTTTATTGCTTACTCTGTGGTAAGGATCAGCATGAATCCAGTTCCCACCTGGAAGTGGGCCCAGTCCTCAACTTCCTACTTCTCTGTCCTCATTTCCAGCTCCCCCAAGCGGCACTCTCTCTCCTGCCCCAGCCACCAGCGACTGTTTTGAAAGCTCACAAATTAAAAGGAAGTGTTCCAATTGCCCACACAGCCCTTATCTGCTCCCTAGCCACCCAGAGCTGGGTCAGAGTTCACAGATTAAAAAGGTTAAAAACTAAGCAGTTTTTTGCTGCCAAGTAGGCAAATGCCAGCCCCTGCTCACTCTCATTGCCCTTGTGGGTTCATTTATTCCTTGGAACAGCTCACAGAATTCAGAGTATCTGTAATTACAGTTCCCCATTTATTATAACCAGAAAGGATACAAATGAAGAGACATACCTGACAAGGTCTGAGAGGGGTTTCTAGTGGAGATTTCCATTGTCTACAGATCATACCACACTCCTAAGAGCAGATGCTCTTGCCAATCCAGGAAGCCTAATTTAATTAATGTAAACTGCCACATGGCTACCATATTGAACAGCCCAGCTTTGGAGGTTACTGGGGAACTGTCCCTTGGACCACATCCTCCGACCACCCTCCAGTGTCCCTTACAGACCTTTGTTCTTGTCCTCCTGCCTGGCTTCCATCAAGCTCTCACATGGGGTGCCATAGAGGAACCGTCATGCAGGTTCATTCAATTGTTCAATGTCTTCCCTGAAGTTTTTGTCTTAGTCTCCTGTTTTTGTTGTTGTTATGTGCCGTTGAGTCGGACCCAACTCATAGTGTCCCCTCCTTGGGTTTCCGAGGCAGTTACCACTACGGAAGTAGATTGCCCAACCTTCCTTCCAAGGAGTGGCTGGTGGGTTTGAACCGCCAACCTTCTGATTAGCAGTCAAGTGCCTTAGGCACTATGCTACCAGAGCTCCTGTCTTAGTCTCCTAGGGCCGCCATAACAAGATAACTACAAAATGGTTTGCTTTATATAACAGAAACTGCTTGTCTCACAGTTCTGGGGCTAGAATTCCAAGATTAGAAGATTTCTATTGAGATGAACCCTGTAGGAAAGCCAATTTCAATACATCTGATGTAAAGATAGGTATGAGCTCATAGACAGAGCTACATCCTAAGGTGAGCAGGGTCACCAGACACTGAGGGTCTGGCCACAAGCCCACAAGCCACCGCTGGGCAGTGCTGGGAGTTTGTGAAGGAACTTAGGCAGCTTAGACACTGAGCCACACACAGAGGGCTGATGATAGAAGGTAAAAGGACCTTGGCCACCACATCAGGGTCAATAACCAGCAAGGAGAGAAGAATGGCCCATTCTCGCCTTAGTTTTGCTGTCCCAGAGATGATTTTCAAATGTTTTTCTGCCTTAATTGTCCCCTACCCTGCCCCACCACCAGCCTGAACTCAATTTGCTGGGCCCTGTGACTTCATGCTCAGCCATCATCTCTCCCCAACCTACCCTGGACCTCAGGGGGTTCCCATCTCTCCTTAGCACTGTTCGAATCCTTGATCCCCACTCTCATCCTGTAGGCTGGCCACCTACCTTGCCTTACAGATAGGTCTCCAGCACCATTTCCTGCATCTTGGCCTCCCAACCCTCAGACCTTTTCTCCTGAATTTCTGGAAGCCTTTGCACTCACCACCTTCTGGAGTTTCTCTGCTCCCCCTTCTCCATGTAACTTTCTGCTTCTGCAAGCCAAGCCATCTGCCTTTTAGTTCCATGACCATACCTTTTGCTGGGCACCCCTACACTAGTGCTTTCCCTCCCAGCCTTTCTGTGCTCCTGGCCTCTTTAGATTGGTGCACAGTTCAGGACTTCCCAGAGAGGGGTGCCTGAGGAGACCACCTGGTCCTCACAACCCTGAAGGATCAGTACTCATGCTCATACCTGTCCTCTTTGGTGCTGATGTCAAAGGGTGTTTGAGCTGTGAATCTCTGAAAGCTAAATTCAGCCCCCATTGGCGCATTTCGCCCTCAGGGCCCAGTACAGAGTAGAAAAACAATAAATTATCCATAAATACCTTCTGCCACTGGTTCTAAAGCCCTGCTTACTAGCCAGATGTATATGCTGCTTTACGTGTATCTGCAGGTGGAGCATGACTTCATCCTACAGACTGAGAAGGAGACATTCATTGAGCAGATGAAAGACATCATAGACAAGGCAGAGGACATGCTCAGTGAGGACACGGATGGGGACCGTGGTTCAGACCCTGGCACGAGCCCTCCACACCACAGTGCCTACAGCCTGGATGCAGGAGAAGTGAGCACTGGCACCTGGGGAGGGCACAGGAACTGGCCACTTATGTGCACTGGCTGGCTGGGTAGAGGGGATGTGTGTGTGAGGCTAGTTGGGGGTGGGTGGGTAAGGGGAGAGGGGCAGGGGACATGCAGTGGAATGGGATGAGGCCAGTCTTCACTTCTCCCAAGTGCCACTCTCTTTGGTGAATGTTAGGGCCATCTGGGACCTCCCCCATAGGTTCAGACATCCAGAGGGATCATTGCAAATTGTTAAATACTCAGTGACAATTGGTGGGCTAAGGAAGGGGCTAGGAGGGTGGGCATCTGGAGAAAATTCTTTGGTACAATCTCTCCTGACTCCTGATCCTTCGCCTCATTTAGGAAGGTCGACACTCCCAAGCCAATGCCCCAGTCTATCAGCAGAATGGTAAGTCAGCCTTCTCAGTTTCAGCATAAAATGCTATAGAAAAGGCATTTCTATGACTTTCCTTTCCCTTGTGAATTAGTTGTTACCATTATATGTTTCAGCAGGCATTTACTAAATACCAGTTGAGAATATTTTAAGGGGATTTATCCGTTGCATTGGGTGGGAGGAGTATTAAATCAGATGAACAAACAATTGAAGGTGCTGCCTAGAGGATGGAAAGCGGGTTCTGCCCCCACCATGGACAGCTTGTCTTGTCCAAGGAGTCTTGTGTGCTGTGGGTCCTGGGTTGTGGTGACATGCAGGCCACATGCTGATGTCCACTGGTCCACCAGATAGCATCCCTGCCTTCATTGGGGGTGGTGCTGGGGGCATGTAGGAAATGAAACCCAGGTAAAGGTAGATTCTCCAACTGGTGGTACACAGTTCCCTTGGCTGCCTGTGCACCCCCCTCTGCTGGTAAGAGAGCAGAGAACTGGGTAACAACTCTGTTTTATGGAGGGAAGCTGTCTAGGGTTATGGCTGAGAATTTTGGTTCCCTGCCCATAGCCTTCCTAGTGACAAACTCATAGGTATGAAGGAGTTCCCACAGAGCTCCCATGCCAAATCTGCAGAAGGCGGTAAGGGACCTTGTTGGTCTGAAGAGAGCTCACTCTCATAGCATTGTATATCTTGTCTCTGTTCTTCCCTTTAGTCCTGCATACTGGAAAGAGGTGGTTTATCATTTGTCCAGTAGCTGAAAACTCAGCAACAGAAGTTCCTGAGTCTTCACCCCCACCACCTGTCAGCTCCCAGCGACCAGATGCAAGCCAAGGTATGAGCAGCCAGATGGTAGTGTCTGAATCCATGTCCCAGCCTACCTGACAAGCCTCCTTTTATGTGTAACCTGCATCAACCCCTAGTCTTCAGCTGTGCTCACAGTGCATGTTGCATTAACATACTCATGCTAGCTGCCATGAGAGGCACTTTGTGTATCATTGCCCTGAAGCCCAGACAGCTTAAAGGGCCATAGTCATATCCCTGATTTCCACTGAATTGAAACAGTATTCAGACTTGGATCTGCTGCTTCCAGAGCTTGTCCTATTACTCCTTCACTGCTCAGATAACACAGAGGAACAGCACAGGTGATGCTGAAAGAGCAAGGCTGTACCCCTTTACTACTAATACCTAACTGCCCAGTTCATTCCCTCTGTGTAGGATTACTTATCAGTAGTGCTGCTATGGAAGACACTCCTGTGTGTTTTGCTTTTTTTTTTTTTTTTTTTGGAGGTGGGGTAGGGAAGTCCCTTTTGACACTAAGATTCTTCAGCTTTATTTTTTTTTATTTTTTTTTTTTTAACCAGAACACTTTATTTATTTTTAAACAAGGTTCCTAGTGGAACACATTTCTAATCTGAAATACATGAGGTCACCATGAATCAGCATCAACACCACGGCAACTGGTCTTCTGTTTGGCTTGGTGTAGGTGATTCTAATGCATACTGAAGCTTGTGAACT